GAATGTCTTCGTTTGAGCTTTTTCTGATTTTCATGTTTTAGATCTGATATCGTTAGTACACTCGTGACACAGATTTTATCGTTTTCTAAACAGAGCTCTTCGTCAAGGAAATACCGAAATGATGCTTCAATTCGGATTTTTTGTACAAGACATTGATTGCCAATTCTAAAATGAACACGAACAATTTTTACGGCTGCATTCTTAAAACCCAATTGTTAAAGTGTATCGTGAGAAGCCTTTCCAGAAGCATATCAAAAAACAAGAGGGGGAGTTGAAAACGAACGTCCACGAAAAGTAGAAAAAAAAGAATGAGTTCTTCGCTTTGAGTCCTTTGAAGATCAAATGTCTCAAATAGAGTACTAAAAAATCGAAGAATTCATTTTATGTTCTGCAAAATAATGAAGAATTCAGCTTTACATGTTTCCAGAGAATTGATTAGAGTTTTCTACTTGGGACAAATGAAGAACTCATTTCAAGTTCCACAAACGCGTGAAACGCTGGTTTTTTACTGTGTAATTCAGGAAAGTTACATGTGGAAAAATTACGGTGTAATAGTAAGTAGAGCTTGAAGCAACGCCTCATGTTTGTTTATTACCTTACAGATATGGAATTAGTCTTCAAAGAAAAAACGAAAATTAATTTCGAGATTAGTATGTTTGGTGAAGAATTATAGTTAAATTATCAGTTATAGTCGACGATAAGAAGCAACTAACCACTAATATAAAAGAAATATCAATTAAGTCATCAAAAAGTAATGAACTTGCACCTCCGCATTGAGATGTTTAAAGTTATAGAAAAACATATGAACGTATTGATTTAAGTGGTCTGTATCAAAATTTCTGTATTCAAAGAGTATTACAACGTTGGTACTGTGAACAATAAAGCTTTCCCAAAAACTGTGGGAGGTTTTGGAAAAAATATGAAATATTTCACATGTTTTATAACATCAAAACTTGTATAGTGTGGGTTGGTGGAATTACAACAAGAAATGAAACTTACTTCAGCAATATTTAAGCTATTTTCAGCCGCAGAAAGCGGTGATGCACAAACAGATAGAACTGACTCTCACTCAGCTTTCCATTGATATAAAAATTATCTGAAAATTCATGACTGTTAATCGATGCCAGTTAATTTGCAGTTCATTAACTAGTTATACTTATCCAGGTTTGATAATTTCGGCTAACGTATACTATTAGAACACTTATCAAAGATAGAAATCAACTGTATTTCAATGGCAAACTTTTTCCGTTTTAATCAAAAATTAGTCCATTTTGTAGAAAAAATTTGAGTTCTATCTATGTGAGTTCTATCTATTGAGTTCTAACCATGTGAATTGCCACTCAGTTGCTTGCCTTTAATGGATTAGCTGAGCTTAATTAAATCAAAGAAAGGTTTTTGATATATTTGATCTGAGGTGATTATGGTCACTCCGTAGAAACCATACAGCATACATACGAACAAGTTCCACAGTTTGTCTAAAACCGCAAAATCGACTAAAAAGACGTTATTATTGCTAAAAAAAAGATATCATCGTTTACAAGACAAGCCACTCAAGAACCCATTTGTAAAAGTCACTGTATATTTTGTTTTTCTCGTTTCTGTTTAAATTTTTCTAGATATATTACACAGCAATACCCTCGTTTCGATGTACTCTTTCTTATGACATTATAGTGAGCTATATACTACTGTATAATCAGGGCGATCACTGTAGTTTAGTTGAGAAACTGAAAATGTCAGATTTCTGCAAAAATAAACTCTTTCATATGCTATTATTCATAACAAATACTGCTTATCCAAAACAATGTCATCTGATAGTACATTGAAATCTTCCATTCGGTGCGAGATATTAACTAAAGCCTTTCCCGTCAGAGAGGTAAACTATTCTCATTTAGTACCATGTAATTTTAAACTGGTGTTCTCACTTTTGGGCTTTTTCAAAGCCATTATAAGCTTTTTGCAGTGCTCCTCTGTTCTCGTATGTGCACTGGAAAACTGCACTTGAAGTAAATATATTACCTCACTTTCCAGTGCAAGAGAGAAATATTTCGCGTTTACAAATGGGTTATGGAGTGGTTCGTATTGTGAAAATAAGATTTCTTTTTTCAACTGATTGGTGCTTGCAAAAGGTCTGTTGCTTATCTGTATCATGTATGCAAATAATGGATGAGAAAACCATCATTGCCAGTAATCGAAACGAATCGGATTCGGATAACAAAAAATCTTTCTTGATAGAAGAAGTTTTTGAAGAAAAGTTAGCACGTAAAAAGCTCATGTTTAACGGTTCTTCGCTTTTTTCAAAAAGACATGAGATACAGAGCATAATTATAGAATTAGAAAGAATTCTTTTGCAGTTCTTGCATAAAAAAGTCGCGTAAATGCGAAAAAAGAATTACTAGTATGGGGTTTAATCGTATTAAAAAATTTTAAAAACATGATTTTCAGGTGGTGGAGATCCAGCATAGCTGATATTTAAGTCTATGCAATGCTTGCTAAATATATGCTGAAAAACCGGCCTTTAGTACGCCAATAACTATTGAAAAACTGCCAGTTACCGTACACTGTACTGTAGGTCAATTGACTGTTGATAACGATCGGGAAACATTTAACAACTAGCTATTCAACGGTAAAAAAACGGATAGTTTAGAGTTGAAATTATATGCCTTTTCTTGACCATGTTAAACAGCCGAAATGTAGGTATTTAACCATGTATCAACAAGTGTAAAATAACTGTTGCAGTTAAATGGCATACTTTGTACTGATGGTTGCATTCAACCGTCAGTTGAATCCTCTTGTTTTCTTACGTTGATGCGGTTCACAAAGTTATAGAAAAAACAGGCGATGACTATTATCTTGATGAAAACTCTAGAATTCAGGCATTTATATTCATACTTATAGAATTCACTTCTCTGTCTCTCTGTCTACCTCGAATATTCTAGTTTAGAGAGACAGAGCGCCAGAGAAACAGAGAAGCGAATTCTATAAATATGAATATAAATGCCTGAATTCTAGAGTTTTCATCAAGATAATAGTCATCGCCTGTTTTTTCCATAACTTTGTGAACCGCATCAATATGTATGTCGTGGTAATTTTCAGTCCGCCCATCGAAAATCGTCACCTTCACCCTCACTGATTTTGATTGTCTTTTAGAATAACGGCGCTGCGGATACATCATAACATTCTGATGTATCCAACTGTATCCTCATTTTTGAGTACAGTTGGATATAGCCTTAATGAATTATCGACTGATAGGTATATCATGATATATCCAAGATGACGATACAGTTGGATATATCCGAAAATAAGTGCTAACAATTTTTACACCTTACTTTTTTTCATCTCGGATATATCCTACTATATCTTTTCTCAAAAAGTTTTTGACTGGAAATCGTTCAGATTTTATGTCAGTAGCGGAGTAATTTTAATATGTGAAAATGTTTTGATTGATAACATCTGGAATGGAGAATGTTGAATACCACCTGGAGTTGTAAATATCAACTTTGGAATGAATTTAGTCCTAAAGTCTTGTTTTTGTTCGTATGTGCTTTTGTATCGAATTTAATTTAATTTTGCTCAAATTGTCGTTTCGCTGTAAACAATGTGTTTTTTATTTTTTTAATCGTTAGTTCGAAAATCCACGTCTTTTTCTATCCACATTGCTGTCATTCTTACTCTTACTTTATTGTATTGATAATTAAAATCATTCTATATGCTTTTCTATAGTCTTTGTTGTTTGGCATTGTGCAAAATAACAGTCAGAAATCAAGATCTCCCAAAAAACGCAATTTGACAGTGTAAGTTTGGTATTTCTAGAGACAATCTGTATTTGATGAACAAAATCGTTGTTTGTTTAGTCGGATGATGAATCAGATGACTTTGATTGGAATGATCTGAAATCCAGAATTAATCAATCTCGATCAACATTTAAATTTCAACCACAAAATCAGCAAAATGATTCAGTAAGTAAACTGTTAGTTTAGCAGTTTGTGTTCCCAATCCGACAAAAAAAATTTATTAGTACTAGTTGCGCATTGATACAGAAGATTTTTTTTCTTTGCACTGATAAGCATCTGTGCGTTTTTAACATTTTTTTTCCATTTATCTGCATCAGTACGAATGCCACTTTTCTGATGCTCGTAACTCCTGCAACTTTTGTCACCTGTTATCACTTTTTCCTTCTTACATCTGTGAGCGAACAAACAGAAACATCAAAATACATATCTAGTCTTGATAGGAAGGTTTGTGATATTTGACATTTTTCTTAATACTCTTCCACAAATTTATTTAAATTATTTAAAATTTCCAATGTGGCGTTTCGTTGTCGACGACAACTTCTTCAGATAAATAAAGTAAACTTAATGAGTTATACATATCTATAGTTTAAACACATAAAATGGCAAAATCAAGACAAAATTAGTCTATTCAATTTTCTTTTCTTTAGTCGAATTTGCTAGTGATACGGAATGGGATAAAACCTATCCAGTTATTACTATTACCGTCTGGTTTCCTTACCACTATCAAATTAGACTAAAATAAAGAAAATTGAATAGACTAATTTTGTCTTGATTTTGCCATTTTATGTGTTTAAACTATAGATATGTATAACTCATTAAGTTTACTTTATTTATCTGAAGAAGTTGTCATCGACAACGAAACGCCACATTGGAAATTTTAAATAATTTAAATAAATTTGTGGAAGAGTATTAAGGAAAAATGTCAAATTTATCAAGATACATAGACAGTATAGGAAGAACAAATGATAGCGAAGAGAAAGAGTGTAAAGAAGGAAGATGTTGAGTAAATGGTAAAAACAGGAAAGTACAAATAGAAAACAAATTTGATCTGTTTTTCTGCCGTCACAGATATTGATGCCACGTGCAAGTTTACCATCCTCATCATCAACTGAACAAGTCATCTATAACAAAAATGAACGCAAGGTTGAATTTGTCAATGTTAATATTCCTTACAATAATGTTTCCATTTTCATTTCCAATATTCAATAAATGGTGAAGTGTGATGAGATACAAGCATATTGTGAAAGGTATTATGACGCTCTGCAGAATGGAATTTATCAATCGGGGCCGGGTCTGTTTTTTGTCAAATTGAAAAATCAACAAATTGTTGACTCATTTATGGATGATAGACTGAAGCACAACATGGGTTTTAGACAACGGTCATGTAAACGAATGTTTGAAAAAAATAAATATGAAAATTGTCCCGGTCGATATCAAGTATCAAACTTTTTATCGATAACCTTGCTCGAAATCGACAAAAACCAAATATTGGATACTGGAGTAATTTATCAAGCATTTAGAGCACAAGGTCGAATTATATCAGTTAAAGAGCAAGAAAAATCAACAAAATTTATCGTTGAATTCGACGATTATGATACCGTGGATAAAGAAGATTATGATACCGTGGATAAAGAAGATTATGATACCGTGGATAAAGAAGATTATGATAGTGGAAGTAAAGAAAGTAGGCAATTGGAAGCAGAATTACATTATTTACGCCTTGGGTAATCATTCGTTAAGAAGAAGAGAAGAAAGACTTGAAGAAATAAAATATTTACGTCGTAAACGTGAAGTAAGAATAAGCGAATGTTTCTGTTAACTGAACTAATGTTTGTCTTCTTCTAGCATTCACCGGATAATGAAAGAAGAAAAAAAAATAAACAAAATTTTGTAAATACATGTGTTTTTTTGTCAAATTACTGTTTTGAACTGTGATATATATCAGAAATTTTTTAATAAAAATAGGAAAACTTTTTGTTAAAAATGTTTTCATAAAAACGGTGTGTGTTTTATTCGTCATAACTGGATCCACAGGTCTTTTGATGGATTAATTCCATGATTGCTTTCATAGTCTGATGTGACTGAGAAATGGTTAGATAACTAAGATTGATGAAAGAGACAAATAACGAAATATCTACTCCTTTTATGGTAAAAAGAAAAAGGGTTTTAAGAAAAACTTTAGCTAAGAATTGTGAACCAACGGACAGTAAATCGTGTACTCGTACATAGCAGCAGCAAAAACAGTGTTCTCACATCATTTTTTCTTTTAGTTCTCTCTTGCGTATACGTCCGTATAAATCTATACTAGAATTTTCTATATAGAATTTAGAATAAGTCTTTTTGTTAGTCATTTGTTACACATCATATCGCTTTCTCATTTCATTCTTATTGATTGATACGATACTTTTTATCCAAATAAAAAAGAAACTAATTCAGCTATGCTGAAATTATTACAAAGTAATCTTTGAGTCTCTTCTGCAAAATTTTAGACTTCTAGAATTTTACATTTTAAGAATTGCAGAATATTACAATTGCAGAATTTTAGAAATCTAAAGTTCTAATATTGTGCAATTATTAAAATCTCAACTTCGGCTGCGGCTAACATTAAAAGAGTATGAAAGTCATTAATCACATCATTCATTTTCTGAATATACTCACTTTTATCAAGAAACAGTACACTCTCCCTTTATCCGGTTCGCAAATAACAATTCTTCAACACTCCTTTATAATTATCAAATGCAGATCGATTAAAGGAGTAATTTACCTTCTGAATTCTACAATTCTTAAAATCTAAACTTCTAGAATTCTAAAATTCTACACTTCTAAAAATTCACTATTCTGAAGTTTGATGGCATGTATGTTTCATGTGCTGCATAAAAGCGGCGTATACTAGAATTTTAGAATTCATGATAGTACTATTTTTACTTTGAAATGCCAAGAAACAAGAATCTTGCAAGAATACCCACAAGAAGGTCGACCAGTACCTGTAAGACTTTTTATTTTGTGTCCGTTATATATGTAGAAGTATAGTCTATACAATCTGTATGTAATTTATAAGACGAACACGTGCGTGACAGAAGAAGATACGAACTATCTGTGTTGTTGTTATTCACATTTTAAATGAGATGAGAAAAAACCAGTGTACGTTTAAACACTCTCTCATAATAAGATATGCCTTAAAATATTGTAATTTTACGTAGTTCATGCCATAGCACACTGACAGATACTTCTTTTTCAATTAAAATTTCATTCTAGATATAGAAACGTCATGTTTTGGCTACCGCATCCACAAGATTTCCACAAATACATTTGACTTTTTCCTGCAATTTTTTCAGATAGATGACCACTAATTAGACTATGTACTTTTCACGCATTATTTCATCCTTGAGATGTGTCACTGTTCGATGTTCTTGTGAGATTCTTGTCTCTTGCCATTTCAGAGAAGAATCTTTATATTTGTCCGAGACAAATTTAAGGATTTTGTTTCAGAACTTTAGAGAAGAATTTTGTCTGTTCTATCACTGATAGATCAAACAAGATTTTGAATTTTTCATCTTTTTTCGTGAAAGACTCGTGTCTGAAATTGCAAGATTCGTTGACGATGAAACCACCAATTTGTTTTATCAATTCCCGTGCTATATATAACTCATAGTACTATACATAGTGTTCATCAAATTCTTTTAAATCTTACAAGATTCTTATCGAGAGACAATCGAGTCTTTATATGCGTCTGTATTAGCGTCAGAGCGGCTAGCTCCCATATATATGAAAAGAAAAGAAAACGCAAAGTGGATTATATGTTGATTTGTTTCCAAGATTCTTTTAAGAATTACAAGACAAGATTCTTGAAGGAAATCTATGACAGTTCTGAGTTGAAATATCTGTCTGTGATTTCAGCGAAGAAAACCTTAAGGTAAAACTATATGTAAACTCTTTAAGAAGATTCTTAGTTGAAATGACAAGAGACAGGAATCTTATAGAACATCGACAAGGAAGTCGATCAGTGGTGTATTCTTTAGCTAGTCACCTTTGAACAGTTGTGAATCTGTTTGTTGTCGACTGTTCGATTTCTAAGTTTTCGCTTTCATTGTAGTACGGTGCTAGAGCATCATATACATTTGCTTATTCATTTGTTGTTTGTTATTCATGTATTTTTTTAAAAGGTGAGTACTAACATGATATGACACTACTTAATTAATACATGATATGACACTAATTAAAACACTAATTAATAAGCACTAATTTAACAAATACTCCTGTGTACTCCGTTCCAACCAGGAACAGATTCAAAATACTGTCTGTCCAATGAAATAGTGGACTCCGGCATTTTTTGAATAACTCAAGAACGATGATAGACAGAGAATTGCAGTTTTCGTCATTCGAAGGAGAAGAATTCACCACATCTTGTCTTAATAGAAAAAAAATTGAAAATATTTCTTCAACTAGGAGATCTTTGAAAATCCAGACCATATAGAAAATTTTTTCAATAGTATTGGATTGATTTTTTCCATGGGCTGATAGCCCGAGATGTCCTCATCAAAACTGGCACTTGGTGCCTATTGGTAGCCCTGAAAACGGGTGAGTTATTCGTAATCGATTATGCTGAGTCTCGTACCAATATTTGTCTTTAGAAAAAGTTTTAAAATTCTAGCAAGAAATGAGTGTTATGAAAAATCGGGATTTCATATTGTTGTCGTTTATATTAAAAGCCTCAAAATGTAAAGTATTTGGACTATTCTATTTATAGAATAGAAATACCTAGAAAGAAAGTTGAGAAATTTTTTTCTCATGGGAATACAATGGGGCTGGCCTCGATTTACCCACATTTTATTTCTATGCTTAAATAAAAAAAAAACGCCAAGTTTCTATTTATAAAATAGAAGGTTCAAAGCAAAATTGCTTGCGTTGTTTGAAAACAAAACGAAAATACCAATCCAACGCAAGTATTTGCTTATACTATATACATATTTCGCATTTCAAGAAAAACTTTCCGTTTTACATTTGTTTTGAGAATCCTCATCTTAGCGAACCGTAGTGAAATGAGCGTTTATCCTAGACGTGAAAAGCTACTAAGGTTTTGGCTTTCAGAAAATATACATCAAATCGACCCACAGACTTTACTTTCAAATAAGAAGTGATTCCAGTATCATTTAATTGTCCAATATATCATTCAATAGATCATGCTATCTGATAACGCATAACATGATCATAATACACATACTTAATACAAGGACCGTTGAAAAACTAATTGCTTGATGATACCCGAGGTGCAGAAAGCTACCCATCTGCCTCGACGGATGTCAGGAGAAAATAGTTTTATTTGAGGAAATTTTATTGAAATGTTCTTTTCTTGTTTATCATACGTTGAATGGCATCTTCTATATTGATTAAAGTCTTATTCGATCTATAATGAAACCATCTGCTCTTTGATTTATTATTGTTATTTATTTCGTATAGATATACTAGTCTTTTTTGATCGTTTACACTTATTATGATAGATAATTAGAGATGAGTGCATTTCCAAGTAACCAAACAGTTACATGGTAGAAAATATAAAGCAAAAGAGCATATTTCAAACAATCACTCAATCATTTTAGTCAACTAAAAGAAAAACAGCGGTTGTTTCCCAAAAAGAGCGAACAATCCCCAGGACATAACTTAGTTTCTCCTACTTAGTTCTTGACCAAAAATGGCTTAGGAGTTGAACTGAAAAACCTTTGGGATTTAGCAGCAATAGTGAAAAACTCTTTTGATTTTTTAATATTCATCG